TAAAATATTAACTCTTTAATGCTATTGATATATACTAAATATAAAATATTACCATTTAGATAATTGAGGAGATAAGAAGAAAAAGGCTGGCTCCCTCCGGTCCACTGCTCAAACAGGGTTGTGATCATTTTTCTGGCTCCCTTTAGAACTTGCTGACAACTCCAAGCATATTCTCACCATAAGGTTTGTGTAAATGCCACTCTTCATACTTAACCTTATGGTGGTTCATCTGGTCAGTGGAGCACATTTCAAATCCTTGGATTTTCTATGTAAATTTTGGCATCTTGCAAAGAGAAACTTCTTATTATTCTGAGAAAGTGGTCATTTTTCCCTGAATGCTTAGCATAGTCAAAAAACATTTATATATAAGGAAAATAGTTTCCTAAGCATAGCTATTCCTTAACTCATGTATGCATGTTTAAAATTTATTTTTGATCTCTACTTCATTTTCTCTGCATTATGACCTTTTTAGTGCTAACCCATCTAAGTATTCAGTCTATAAATGTTCTTTTTTTTTTAATGAATGGTAAATTTTTGATCAAACCTTTCTCACGTAAGTCTGTAATATTTGGATTTGGAAAGAGATCGGAAGGAAGCAGTCTTTGTGTTTGTTACCTTTATTCCATCTTGTTCTTTTTCCTTCCAAAATGCATTCGTTTCCTTCTTTTACACTCATTTCTTTTGCTTCATTATGAACTCCAGGCCCTTCCATAGATATAGAGTATTTTTATGCTGTACCTGTTTTGTCTGCTTTTACTGCAGTCTGATATTTATTACTTTCTCCATCTCTTATTCCCAGTATGGTACCTGGTACTTACCAGGATCTCCATACAAATTTGTTGACTAATTCAACGAATGAATTTTCTAAAATCTCAAATACAACTAATTCCTTCTTGCCTTCATGAGTATCATTCCCTCCATCAGAAAAAAAAAAAAAAAAAAATTCCTCCCATTCTTCATGTGGCTAAATTCAACTCATCTTTCAGCTGTCAGTGTAAATCTCACTTCCCAAAGAGGTCTTTTTTGATCTCCTAATTTAAATCAGACATTTAAAAGTACTCTCTCATTGTATGCAGTAATATGTCTTATTTACATTTATTTTGTGATTATTTTTTAAATGTGTGTCTCTTCTAGGTACTGTGAGAGAAGAGGTGAGGTCCATTTTATTCACTGCTATATTCTCTAGGCCTACCTCTTTGCCTAGAATATAGTAGACACTCAGTTAAATGCTTATTGAATGGGTAAATAAATTTATTTGCTTAGAATATGTTCTAAGATGTGAGTTACTGAGTCTGAGGATTTGAGTATTTTAAGATTATTAGTGCATATTGCTGAGTAGCTTTCCATTAAGACTGTTATATTTACATTCCCACCAACAGTGTCTGAGATTGCTTTATCTTTGCTAGTATTATTAGTTTTTATTCTTTATTAATTTGTTAGACCAAAAATGGTGTTTTATAGTTTTAATTTGCATGTCTTTGATTATTAATAAGTGTGAACCTTTTTCCCATGTGTTTGTTCAGCCTCTCACGAAGACTCTTGTGCTGGCATATCTATTCTTGGTCTTCTTATCTCTAATCTGCTTCGTCCTTTATACTGTGAAGGGATTAAGTTCTTTAAAACAGGGTTTTTATTTTGTCATTTCCCTGCTCAAGAGTCATTCCTTTAGTGTTGTTGTCTGTAGTATGAAAGATGCGTTGCTCAGCACCTGCCATTCCAGGCCTCCCATTCGCCTCTTCAGTCTTCTCTCACTGCTCCTCAGTGTGGTATTATTGTTTTCCCTGACATTCAGTTGAGTCTGTCTCTGTGCTGTTCCTTTTACCTGTGTGCCAACCTGAATTCTTGAAACACTTAAGATGGGTCTCATAACTAACCTGTTTATGAAATGTTTGAAAAGTAACCTTGTCCCAACTTTGATTCTTGAACTTTCTTATATCATACTTTTTACTCAATTGCTTCAGTTTGCTTTCTAATTATATTGTGTTTTTCATCTTTCTGTACCAATTATCAGCTGCTAGGTAACAATATAGCGTAAATTCAGTGGCTTAAAACAAAACAAGTTTATTACCTGAGTTTCTGTGGGTCAGGAATCTGGGTGGGGCTTTCCTGAGTCATCAGCTTCAGAGTCTGTCATAAGCCTGCATGCAAGTTTTTGGTCAGGGCTGGGGTTTCATCTGAGGCTGGATGGGGGAATGTTCTCCTTCCAAGCTCATGGGGTTGTTGGTAGCATACAGTTCCTTCAGGACTGTTGGACTGGGGCCTTTGCTCCTTGGAGGCCGTCCTCAGGGCATACTATATGGACGTCTCCGTATGGCACCTTACTTCATCAGAGCCAACAAGGAAGAGCATCAGTAGAGAGTCTGCTCGTAAGATGGAAGTTACAGTCTTTTGTAATATAATCATGGAAGTGACATCCGTCACCTTTGCCTTATCCTACCAGTTGGAAGCAAGTTGCAGGTCTCATCCAAACACACAGAGAGAGGATTACACAAGGGCATAAATACTAAGAGGCAGGGATAATGGGGTGTCCTTCAGTCTGTCTGCCACACTGCCCATCTCTGTCTTCTTGGAGCACCATGTTTTCTATAACTATCAAATTTGAGCCCCCAGTAGTTACTTAATAAGGTCTTATTTAATTACAATAATAAAAGAAAGAGGAAAGTCAGTAAAGAAATGGAATACTCCACTAAAGGAGAAATGGATCAGTCTTTATGGAAAGTTAGGAGAGAAAGCAATATTTTATTTCCTTATTATTCAATTATAATATGTTTTTTTTCTCCAAGTAATATTTTTGACTTGATAATATATTTACTATAGTAATAAGGATGCATAGGAAATGTCAGACAATATTTTATGAGATATAGGGAAGTTCTGATTTCAAATGGAGTATGTTCCCAAAGTTGATTTTTTAAGTTGGTTGCTTGAGATGTTTAAAACTTTTCTGAATAGAAATAGTGCTATAAATCAGGTTCTGAGACTGGGTCAACTCAGGTAAGCTCATTTATCTTAGAACCATAAAGTGCCAGGAATAAAAGGGATCTCTTGGTTATCTAATGTGTAACCTTCTTAAAGCATCCCATCAGATACTTCTTAGTGCCAGCGAAAGCCCAGAAAGGAGAATGACTATTTGTAGTTGAGCTAGGGTGGTAATGATATGGTGATAGGCTTGTAGCCATTCATTTGGTGGTGGGGAGTGGTCTGATTGTAATATATTTTGAACTCTGGCAATTTCAAAAATATATTTCTTCCGCCATTTTCTAGATTGTCCATAATTTTCAGATCTATAATGTGTAAGTAGCCTTAGAATATGTCAATTATT